TGTCTTTTTTACATCGGACCCAGAACCGATGTAAAAAGTCTCTGATTTACTATATCGTCTGACTTTACATCGGACCAAGAACCGATATAAAAAGTCATTTTCATCCGATGTAAAAAGTCATTTCTGCACTAGTGTCAATATGAACACCAATATCCAGATTTTACATACAATTTTCACATGAAATTCAGCAGTAAAATCAAAGCACGAATTTTTGTTTATCACAACAATTAAGATAGATTTTACATAAACATTCTACAAAAACATACAAACTCAACAATGGGGGAAAACATGAGAAAAACAAAGAAGAGGGTGAGGATCCATATCTATCCTCCATACCATTTATACCCATAAATGAGTAATTCCCTACCTCAACTTTCCAGTAAAGGTTGAAACTTTTGATAATGATGCTCCCTCTCTTCTTTCTCCCAAACTCCTTAAGGTTCTCTCTCCCTTTTTGTCTCTTTTCTCAAAATTTATGTCCTAGGTTTTTGACTCTCCCCACTTTTCTATTTAAACCAAATAAAACCTAATATTTTATTAATTTTAATTATTTCACAATTCCTCGTCAACTATTGATAATTCACTTCTTATCCCACCAACTCCTTAAAAAACTATTTTCCTCACAATTCTCAGAATTCTCCTATTTTATTTAATAATTTAATTATAAAAATTTTAATTAAATCTCACAATACCAAATAAAACACAGAAACCATTCAAGTCTCAAAATAAAATGATAAGAAGCATTTTAACTTAATTAAATTAAAAAATAAACGAAAAATTTATAGTGTTACACCCCTCTCTTTGATATTATTACACAATCTATGTAAAATAATAATAATTTACGAGGTTAAAATTTTTATCTTTTTAAACTAAAAAAATATTAATCCATAAAAAATCATGACATTAGAAAACTAAATTTTCATATCTTAAACCTTAGTAGTAGTACACCTACTTCTTTTATTGTTCTATGTGAGTCATAAGTAATTGATCATTTATCTCTCTCCAATCTCATGAAAGATTTATTTACTATCATTTTCCACACAAAAGGAAAAATAACTGCAATGTTGAATCCCCACGTAAATACCAAATTTAGTGTAAACTTTACTACACCAGATAGAACCTATGCGAAACAAAACAAATGTACATTTCTGTCTTTCTCGTACGTACGTCCAAATTATTAAGGAAATCGGTTTGGTAGTAGTACAAGTATACATATTTTTGAAGCACGTGTAGTACAAAAAATAATAAACCTTTTCTTATCAATTTATTATTATTATTTTCCTTTTGCTAACAATTTTGCAGTACGACACAAACACAACCACTTTTACTAAATGTACGACATTACAACACAGAGTGCACCTGTGTGCTGTTTCATCTTCCAATGTACTTTTGTTTTTCTTTTGCGATGTACTGCAAATATCTTCATTTCATCGTGTAATCGTGTAATCGCACTTTTCAAAATTGATTCATATATATATTTCATAATTGTTTGGTGGGTTTTTGAGATTCTTATCTCAATCTCACTCACCTTCTTCATCAATCTCTTCTCTTGTCTTCATTGCTGCAAAGGTACGTACGATGATGTTTTGATACCTATTATGTTTCATATATTCATGATTTTTTTTTTTTGATTTTTTTTCATTCTACATTATGTTTGAGAAATGATTCTTTCGATAGAGATTTGATGATTTTTATACTTTATACTTGCTTTGAAGATTGATACATTTATAAGGAGCAAAGGGTTTGAGTATATTCCAATGGGAAATGTGAGCAACGAAGAACGAGAACTACGAGAGATTGAAAATTTGGAGAGAGAAGACGTAGAGAAAGCTGGAGTTGATGTAGAAGATGCAAGTGGAATAGCACCATGGAGACAACAGATTACAATTAGAGGAGTGATAACTAGCATATTTATTGGCTTGATTTATAGTGTGATTGTGATGAAACTGAATCTCACAACTGGTCTAGTCCCTAATCTCAATGTTTCCATTGCACTTCTTGGTTTTGTGTTCATTAAACTTTGGACTAAGATTCTTGAGAAAGCAAATATTGTTTCAACACCTTTCACTAGACAGGAGAATACCATTATTCAGACTTGTGCTGTTGCATGCTACAGTGCTTCTTATGGAGGTGATTATTCGAACTCGTGTACTCTTGATTGATTAAACATTGACTAGTAGTTTTCTAAATTTTACTTGTATATATGTAGGTGGTTTTGGGTCATACCTTTTGGGTTTGAATCGGAAGACATATGAGCGAGTCGGAGGGACTAGTACGCCAGGGAATACTTCAGACACCAAGGAACCTGGAATTGGCTGGATGACTGGATTTCTCTTTGTTACTTACTTTGTTGGGCTAACAGTATTGATTCCTTTTCGAAAGGTATTGCTTATGAATCAATCCGTATTTTCTGCTGTCGAACATTGTTGTCAAATAGCAGCTATAGCGGTTCTATAATGCTATATTAATGTTGTTTGCTATGTTTATTTAACAGATGATGATAATAGATGCTAAATTACCTTATCCAACCGGAACTGCAACGGGTGTTCTTATTAATGGATTCCATACTCCTAAAGGGAATGTCATGGCCAAGTATGATTATAAAACCAGTTATGGTACTTGTCCTCTATATTTGTAATTTCAAGATCTGAGAACATATAAAACTAGTTTGGCATTTTTCACAGGAAGCAGGTTAAGGGCTTCATGCGGTTCTTCTCATTCAGTTTACTTTGGTCTTTCTTCCAATGGTTCTATGCTGGTGGAGACCATTGCGGATTCACTCAGTTTCCAACTTTCGGGTTGAAAGCATGGAGAAACACGTGTGTGATTTTACTTCAACTGCTATGATATGACTCTCTTTTTAGTTTTATGTATCAGAAGAATGAAACATTTGTCAATTGTAATTGATTTGAATGTTTGATTATTTTGCAGATTTTACTTTGATTTCAGCATGACTTACGTTGGAACAGGAATGATTTGTTCACATCTTGTCAATTTATCATTGCTTTTTGGAGCTGTGGTTTCATGGGGCATTATGTGGCCACTGATCAGAGTACTAAAAGGAAATTGGTTCCCTGAAAGTTTACCAGAAAGTAGCATGAAGAGTCTTAACGGTTATAAGGTCTTGAATCAACAACAAATGAAGGGAGCTCTATTAGAGTTCATTTGAATTTGAGTTTTTTTTATTTTATTTTAGGCCTTAACTTTCTTTTTTATTTTCATGGCGCAGGTTTTTATTTCCATTGCATTAATCCTTGGTGATGGTCTCTACAATTTTATCAAAATTATATATTTTAGCGCCTTAAATTTTCAAGCCTGCATGAAAAGGAGGAATCACAGAACAGGTAAATAAACGGCCTTTTGTCACTTTTTACAGTTCATGTGTCTATGTAATTTTCAAGTTTAGGCAGTGTTGTCACGTATATGCCATGGCGGATTATGGTGACAGACTTTTCACAGCCGTCGTGGCCAGCTCGTGAAGGATGGCAGTGTTGTGGTGTTCTTATGGCGGATTTTGGGTTTTCTGATTTTTATTTTTTTCACTGCAGTTTCAGTTACTGGTGATGACCAAAACAAGACTCCAGACGATCTCACCCGTGATGAATTCTTTATAAAAGAAAGTGTTCCAATATGGTTAGCATGTGTAGGCTATGTGGTACTCACTGTAATCTCCATCAATGTTATCCCTTTAATATTCCATCAAGTGAAGTGGTACTTTGTGGTGGTAGCTTATCTCCTAGCACCAATTCTTGGCTTCTGCAATGCTTATGGTACTGGCCTAACCGACATGAACATGGCTTATAATTATGGAAAAGTTGCCCTTTTCGTTCTTGCAGCCTTAGGAGGGAAAAGTGACGGTGTTGTTGCTGGACTTGTAGCATGTGGACTAATAAAATCACTTGCTTCAACTTCATCCGATTTAATGCAAGACATGAAGACTGGTCATTTGACTTTAACTTCGCCGAGATCAATGCTTATAACACAATCAATTGGTACAGGAATAGGTTGTGTTTTTGCACCACTCGTATTCTTTCTTTTCTACCGTTCTTTTGATGTTGGAAATCCTGATGGTGAATACAAATCACCATATGCTATCATCTATAGAAACATGGCAATTCTTGGTGTTGAAGGCTTTTCAGCACTACCAAACCATTGCTTGGAATTCTGCTATGGTTTTTTTTTATTTGCTGTGTTGGTTAACTTTATAAGAGATTGGAACCCTAAAAATATTGGGAAATGGGTCCCACTTCCTATGGCAATGGCTGTGCCTTTTGTTGTTGGTGCTTATTTTGCAGTTGACATGTGTGTGGGGAGTTTAGTAGTGTTTGTTTGGAGCAAGATGAAAAGCAAAGAAGCAGCTTTGATGGTTCCTGCTGTTGCTTCTGGTTTAATTTGTGGAGATGGGATATGGGTTCTTCCTTCAGCTGTTCTTGCTTGGTTCAAGGTTCGACCACCAATTTGTATGAGTTTCGCGGCAAATAACTAGAAGATGTTTTCTTGTAGAACTTTAGAGAAAATTTGTGTAGTCAAGTTTTATTAGAATTTAGTTCATAAAGATTCTTCTTTTATTTTTTAAGGAGTAGTTCATAAAGGTCTTAGTCAAAGGAGAATGTAGATCTTATTTTAAAGGCTTAGGGACAATAAGTGCCAAAATGTTGATACTTGAGAGTGAATTGGTGTAAATAGTTGTTTTCCTTGAGGCAATTTTACAGATACTTTTCTTTTTACAAAAGGAATTTTATTGAACAAGAAAAACTATTCCCCAAACTATAACTTATAAAGACAAATAAGTAGTACAATATTCCTCACAGTATTGTATTAAATTTACATCACTTTGTAAAGGTTAAAAAATTTGACATTATCTGTAAAGCTATCCCTATAAACAGCCTACCATGTCTTCTATGTGGCAGAGAGTAACAACATTGAGCCATACTTCTTCACCATGAAAATGAAAAGGAAAAAAAAGGATTATGGGAAGAGAACTAGAGATAGAGATTGAACTAGTTAAATGCTATCTCCTGAAGGACTTGAAGTGTCTTTTGATGAACCTGCAAGCAAAGGAAAGGAACAAAAGGTATAGGTCATTCAGCAGATCAAGAAGATTTATATGGCTGTGCACAATTGTTAGCAACGATTCTTAAGTATTTAACTGTTCTTTAGGCATAGTCAAACCAGTTTAAAATTCTGAAAGTGTACGGCCAAATGCCAAACTCAGTTTCACACTGAGTAACCTTTAACGGGTTAATTAAAGATCGGTTATGAAATTCCTAATGAAAAAATTCAAAGACATGAAAATTTTAAATCCTATGCATAATAGAAATATATATTTATGATAGGAAGGATGGCACATGTCTTTCCAATGGGCTAATGTACACGGGCGCAGCACACGATTTTGGAAATAGAAATAGTTACAGATTTGGTGAAGTAAGAAAGAATTTACCCATTCCAAATGTTGTGCAGTGATACCAGAGTCGGTTCCAGCATATATACCAGTCAAGACCTGACATGACAAACATAGAATATCAACTGGAAGTGCAAACACCAAAAGAAGGTCATTCAAATCTAAATAATATTCAGATTGTATATAAAGAAATGAGCATAGGAAAAAGTTACCAAATTATAACAATTTGGATTCCCAATAGAGAGTGAAATTTTCAACTGAACCAAATATTTTACCATTCCATGGAATTCTCTGCTACATTGCTTCAAAGACAATCATTCAACATAAAAAATATGACATGGCATTACCTTAGAGACTGTTTCGAGAAACATGCCTGGTCGTACCGGATGTGGCCTCCGTCCTGTCACACTTGCCTGGATATTATGAAAGACAAATTAAATATGCTGTTGACTACAACTTGAACTGAATGCAAGTAAAACACATTCACGTGTTAAATAATACACATCCATCCAATTTAACTCACCCTTCCAGCTATTCCTGTTGAAACCCTATCATATTCATCATTGTTGCCAGAGTTGTCTGCACCTTCATCTTTTCCTAGCATCACATTTCTTATCATATCAAGAACAACTTTCCCAGGTTTTAAAGCCACCAATTTGGTTAAGAAATTCACCTGCAATGTCAACAGTTTTATGTTTTAACGATGCCAAAAGCATATTTTCGACAACGAATAACCATAAAGTTTACTTTTAGATCTCTATATATCTAGTGAAAATTTCCAAGCCCTTTTAACACAAGACAATAAAACTGTGTGAAACTAAATCTAATATGGAAATGTCACATCAATGCACCTCAGACTGAGGTAGAGTAGAAAATCCACGGTCATTTCTTTCATCCAAAATACCCCCTCCCATCATATCACGAGCTTCTTCTCTAATCAAAACAAGCCTTGCAAGCAGTTTTCGATCAGGCACAACAGGACGAGTCTCCATTGTCTGTAAACATAAAATTCAACACCAAACAATTAGCCATAAGGTGTCTATAATTCATGTGGTTTCCTTGCTCAAAACTTCAAATAGAACGGATCTTTATCACTCAATTCAAAGAATAAAAAATGCAACCCAATCTTTCAGAAAGCTTCTGCTAGGAAAACAAGAAAAGAAAGACATTTCTCTTGAAGACATTGAAATAATTTTTCGAAGAAAAAGAAATAGATAAAAACAAAAAGTATAAAATATAAGTGAGCCCTCCAATATTGAGAACCTCTAAACAACTTTAAAGAAATATTAGTACAAAACAATTTAAAGATTAAATAATTGAATGAAGAACCTAGTAACTCCTATAATACTTGAAGTTTATATCAATACCTCCAATAAATCATCAGCTTGGTTAGCTATGTCATTTAAATTTGCCCCAGGGATATGAACCTTCAAGTCATTCTCGCCTTTAAACGAACCACCACCAGCTGCTACTCGGCGTAACAATTCATATCTGCTTTCCTTTTTAGGAGTTCTACATAGAAGACCAATTACTTGAACCTAAAAGATGAACGGAGAAGTGCACGTTACATTAGTATACAACTCACAACCGATCAGAAAAGTATTCAAGAAGTGACTCAGAAGTTCCTTACCTGGGGTGGGCATTTTTTAGTTAGATGTGATAGTACCGTCTCTTTGATAACTTCCAACAGTGACTTGCGCTGCACGAAAATATATTCACATTTAATTCCCAGCCACAACTTTATGACAGTTTGTTTGCTCAACAAAATATAAATTGGTCTTCGCGTAAACAAAGCTTTTGTGTGTTTCTCTCTACTCTGATATGTATTCGCGTTACTGATCTAACAAAAGTTTAGTTTGAAAATCACACCTTATCATCCTGGTCCTGCTCCGCAAGCTGGATCATGTAATCAAGGGCCATCATGAAATCAGATTCCATCTGATCAACTCTCTTACCAATAACTCCTTGTGCAGCTAACTCCACTGCTACTTTCTCCGACTCTTCATCCAGATCCATATCTTCCAACTGAAGCAATATCAAAATTCTAAGTCGTTTTCATAAGCTAGAAGCTTATAAAAATAAGCTGAAAACAGATTATGGAGACATAAAAAAAAAACTCAATAGAAATGAAAATTGTGATTACAGAAATGATTGATAAACCCTAAGAAAAAACTTACGAGGGTAATCATTTCCTGAAGAACAGAGATAACTTGATCTCCTCCTTTAAGAAGTGCTTCACGTTGAGCGGACGTATCTGTATCTTCTGGATTTTGCTTTTCGTTTCGGTTGTTAAGTTCATCGAGTGGGAATCCACCACCAACTTCGTAACTGGAATCGATTAACGCGATTAATCGATTTTTTTTAGCTTTTCGCTTCTGCTTCGGATGTAGATGATGTTGGTGAGTGGAAGTTGAGTTTGGAAAATATGAACGAAGAATGTTAGGGTAATAAGTTTGTGTGGGAAGCGTGAACGAGAGTGAAGTGCCAAGCATTTTTTGTGCTTTTTTTTTCTGTGTTTTGAGAATGATAATTTTGAACTTTTCTAGTTTCTATATCTAAGACTTGGGGTTTTATCTGGGTTTTAGTGGATATGATTATGATGGTAATTACTTCAACACATTGTTTTATATAATCTATATGATAAAAAAGCGATTATATCAACAAGCCGTCTTAGCTCAGCTGGTAGAGCGCACGGCTTTTAACCGTGTGGTCGTGGGTTCGATTCCCACAGACGGCGTTTTTTATTTATCTTTATGCTCTTTCTCTTTAACTCTCATATTATTTGATTAATTTCTCGGTCATATTTTATTTTCCATTATTCTATTGGGTGGGGATATTACGAATGCTAAGTTGGCCAAATAAAAGAGTTCATATGTTAAATTTGTTTGTTTAATAAAATTAATAGTTAAATTTGTAATTATCTTAATAAATATAATCAGATTAAAATGAAAAAAATGATGATAGTCAAACTTTTTTTTAGTACTGACTTATTGTGATTGAGAAAAAATTCTTAATTCCTTAGTGAATAGTAAAGTAGTTCTTAGAATTATAAATTTGTATTTAAGCATCATTAAATTTCTCTATTCTTTATTAATTTTTTTAATTATAACAACAATCCTTATCCTATTAGGTGGAGTCACCTATATGAATCATTTTTCTTAATAAAATTCTATTACGATTTACGATTCTATCAAAATCATTAATTTCGAGATCTTTCTTAACAATATTTTTTATTTTTTTTAGGTATTTCTCGAATTGTTTGTCTTATCTCCATTTAGTTCACTCTCTTTACTACAAAGTCTACTACATGTCTTCTCTCTACATTCTTAAATCACCTAAGTCTATTTTCCATCATATTCTCTACGATATAGCTATTCCAACACTCTCTAATAATTTAATTTCTAATTTTATTCTATCGAGTCTTACACACATCCACCACAACATCATCGTCTTTGCTACACTTACTTTATTCACGTATTAGTTTTTAACCGTTCGATATTTTATTTCGTACAAAATCACAAGTTTTACCACAGTCCGATAAAACTTATCCTTTAACTTGATTGGTACCTTTGCATCACGTAAAACACCTGATATATTTCTCCATTTCAACCCTCCAACTTGATTTCGATGATTTACATCCTTTTTATTTCTCTATTATTTTGTATTAGATATTGTGATTTTCTCTAAATTCTCACTACCCATATATTTCTTCTAAACAAATTTGTTCTGGACTGGGCCCGCCTTGGCCCAAAATGCAAATAAAGGCCCAGATCCAGGCAGCTCCTCGGGGAATGCTCATAATCAAACCATCCAGAACGTGCCCGACCACAGACCCTAGTGGCAATGCCTGTCGTTACCCGCAACGAGTAGCGTCCCCGACCAGAGGATTCGAATTGCTCGAGCCTTGCTCGAGCATCCTCCCCGTAGGGCAGATTCTGTCTCCTCCGAACGCTACGGGATCCTTAAAGCCCCGAAAAGACCGCATCTTCGTCCTTCCTCATTCTTCGCAGAGCACCATCCAGGAAGGAGACCACGTGCGGGTCCCCACTACACACGTAGAACCCGGAAGTCCCTTTATTAGGCCAGTTCTGGTCGGCCCAATAGGGGAACCTTGGCCCAACGCTGGGGGCTATAAATACCCTATGTTCCAAAAGGGTCAGGTATTCGTTCATTACACACCTATATACTTTTTGCCTACTCATTCCGTCTCTCATTTTATCATCGGAGTGTCTCGCAGGTACCCCCCCCCCCCCCATCTCATTCAAATCCAGTTCGAGCCAGCTGTGACGGTCCAAGTCTGATCCGGTAAGATCAGTGGCGCCGTCTGTGGGAAACTAAGCTTCCCCGTCTTACAAACTTTCAAAGACCAAAGCTAAAAACCATCTTCCACCGTCATGGATGACCAAATTCAGGACGACTAAAACTCCCGCGCTTCTTCAGTCCCCCCTCCGCTCGAAGAAGACAATACAGCTCCCCCAAACTACCTAGCCGCCCAATTCCAGGAGGTCCCTGTCCCTGCTGGGGCAGACGCCACGACCAGAGCACTGTTCGCGGCAATCAACCAAACTAACTACCTCATCTTTGCCCAGGGGGAAAGATTGAGGGCGCTAGAGGACAACAGAAGACCCCCGAAGAGACACAGGAGGCCTCAGTCCCCGCCTCCTCGAAGAACAGAGGTACGTCTCCCATCTCCCCCGCGGAGACAGTGCAGAGACACCTCCCGAAGCCCGTCACCCCGACAACCAGGGAGACGTCCCCCCTTGGAGAGAGAATCGATCATTGAAGCTGGAGGGCGCAACCACGGCCCTTTACGACAAGAACAAGGACATCCTAGAGACAGGCACAGAAGGGCGGATCAACAAGTGCACCGCTCGAGGGACGTCCAACACGACCATGGCCGTCGTGCCCAACAATACCTCAAGTCCCCGTCCCTTTCCCCATAGCAAAGTAACAAGGACGACCCCCATGGTCCCCTATCACAAGCCATCATGGAGGCACCCATTCCCCTGGGCATGGAGAAGCCCCCTCACCTAAAAGAATATGATGAAGCCGCTGACCCGGTCGATCATATAGACGGGTTCGAAGCTATGCTGCACTACCATAACATTGGGGGACCCATCAAATTCCGGCTGTTCCCCACAACCCTTAGGAAAGCAGCAATGGATTGGTACAAGGGCCTTGCCCCGGGGTCAATCACCTCATGGTGTAACTTGAAAAACCAGTCCATAAGCTCGTTCACCGCGTCATGGCGACATCCAAAGACTGAAGCGGCGCTCGAGGCTATCGTCTAGAGGCAGGACGAAACCTTGAGAGAATTCATTAACCGCTTCAACCGTGAAGCCATCCAGGTCCCCTGCGCGGACCACATGAAAAGATACTTGCTGGAGAGAGGACTCCTCCTCGGCACAGAGTTCAGAAAGGCAGTGGGCATCAAACCACCCCGAACGTTTGATGCTCTCCTCGAGAAGGCCAGGGCCTACATGGACTATGAGGAAAGGGAAGCGGCCAATAGAGCCTGTGACCCCAGAACTCGCGGATCCAGCAGTAACTCGCGCCAAGAAGTCGTTCCTCCTTGACGGGCCGGGGAGAAAAGACGACAAACCCCGAGAAGTCCGCGAATAGAGAGGACCCTCGGAGAGTTTCACAGAGTACACTCCGCTCATAGCTTCCTGCGAGCACATCTTGGCGGAGTGTGCTAGTACAGATTTCAAAGATGGCAGCGTCAAGCACCCCCGACCAGCTCCTTCCAAGCCCGGGGTGGATAGGAGCAAATACTATCAGTACCATAGGAGCCATGGTCATCTGACGGAGGACTGCGTCCACCTCAAAGACGCCATTGAGACCCTCATAAAAGGGGGGAGACTCGCCCAGTACCGGCGAAATGACGCTCCTCGTCGCGACGTCCGTGAGACAAGAGAGCCAGAGGAGGATGCCCGACCATCTAATGAGTCGGCCCCCATCCAGACCGCCTTCTCCATCACCAGACCCGAGGACTTTTTCATCTCCGAGCACTTGCAAGAGCTGTTGTCAACACACAGCAGGTGGGAGCACTTTCCCTCCGCCATGGTCATCAATGGTGGAGGATTCAATGACCTAACCATAAATTCGGCCAAGAGGAAGCTGGATGAGTTGGTCGACTCTGCACCTCCTCAGACAGTGACCTTTGAAAGGGTGAAGGGTAGATTGGATCCTATCACCTTTTAACTTGAAGAACTCCCTGGTGGGTCCCCCAACGCGGTCATTCACCTGCTAATAAGAGCGAGAATGGCTAATGTGATACGGTGGGAAGAACTGACTGTTTTTTGGAATCTTGGTTTGCGTTTTGCGTTTGTTTTTGCAAAATGTCACGGTAAGCAAGAGTCGCCACTGACTTTTATTTTATCCAACAAGGAAAGGAAAAAAAGCACAGAAAAATTCCCTTTTCGAGATATTTATCGGGTTCAGGGGGTAGATTATAGAAAGGGAAGGTATTAGCACCCTTTCTATCCGTGGTTTTCCACGGGCTCTTAGGTACTTGCTCATTTGTTTTCAAAAAAAATTTCTTTGTGCTTGTGGGTTTGAAAAAGTTTTTGTTTGAAAACTTCGATTTAACTCTTGCTTCTGTCCTCAAGAGTGTAATGAAGTGTTTTTGAAAACTTTGTTTGAAAAGGAGTGTAAGTGTGAAAAATTTGTTTTGTTTTTGAAAGAGCAAGTATCTAAGAACCATCTACCTACTCGAAAAAGGAATCGTTCTATACTAATTTCCTTAGACAATACTATCCCACTATTAATGAGTAGGTAGCACCGTCGTTGGAGTTTAAGGGTCAATTCGAATAAGGAACATACGATCACTAAAGCAATGTTAGGACGCCTTAGCGGTAACCCTAATGTCTTAGATCATTTGTTTAAGGCAACAATATTCGAGGCAACCGTTTCAAGGCGACTATGATCTTTTAGACAAGAGGACGACCTCTAAATCGACCTATACTCAATGACCGTGTACAAAGGCAACCAAGTGGGGTGTACCCTAAGAGTGCGCATGTGCGAGTGTGTCGTTTTCAGTTATTTTTATCTTTGCACATGTTAAGGGTGAACTAATTTGATTTTAGTTTAAGCATTCAGTGTTGTCATGCAAACCCTATTATCAAACATCTAACAGTTATAATTTGCAGAATTTAAAATGTGGAATTTAAATTACAAGGCGTCGGGTATTTACATCGCCAAAAGCAACCCTTTGAAAAATAAAATAAAGTAAAGTGATAAATAAATAAAACTGTCCTAATTATCTATTACATTCCGGAAGCAGATACATTAATATGGGTAAAAAATAAATAAGGCGCGCGGGAAATCGAATCGAGTGCGAATTAGGGTTTTGACCCTTTTGAAAAGAAAATGTTTTTTTGTTTGTTTTCATTTTTTATTTTAAGAAAAGAGATTAATCCTAAATTAAATACTAAATTAAATTAATTAGTGAAAAAAATAAATTATGACATATTTTTGGTTTTTTTTGTTA